CCCCCCGCTAAATTCAACCACCCATTATTAGCGGCTGCTTGAATTGTCCACCTCCCTCCATGCGGCTTCTGCTACAGCACACGGCTCTTGTCAGGTGTCCATCAAGATTCCATAACCGTCGAGTCTGCCTAGGCAACTGTGACAGATACAACCAGCCTGCTACATTCCCCATGGACTGATGCCCCGGGAAACGACACCCTGGGCCAAGGCGAAGGATTGCTTGTGTTCAGGGGAAGAATGCCCCGGCTGGAGATGCAGGTGTGACACCGGGGGTATGGCCTCTTTACCGTGCGGGGGTCCTCAGTGCCACCAGGGAGCAGACGTAATGCCCAGTGGCCAAGGCAGAGGAAGGAGTAAATCCAGAGCAGTGGTCATGTATGTGGAGTACCCAGGAGGTCAACTGATGTCAGAGGTGATGTCTGATGTTCTCACAGGGGTCAGTAGCAAAAAGATCCAACCGAGAGGCCAAGTCAGATGGGTTGAGGTCCGATGAGGGTCAACTGAGGCCGCAGGGCAAGGTGATCGAGGTAACAATAATTGGCCAACAGCCTGTTCCTCAGACACCTTTCTCTTTCCCCCAGGGTCTTTATATAGCCCAGTGACTTCCATAACTTCAGGAGGCCCTCAGCTGCCTGAGCCTCCTTGTTGGCTTGCTCGTACCCCCAGGCTCAACAGCGTTACTCTCTGACTCAGCCAGTGTTACCTCAGCGATGTGCCAGCCTGGCCTGGTTTCCTCGCCACACGATGGGGCAGCACTGCAGTCACAGATCGCTTGGGTCAGCCGGAAACTGCAATTTTCAGCAAATAATTTGCCTGCCCAAAAACTTGCACCCAGCGCTAGTCATCAGGGCGATTATTAGGTCTGAGATATGAAAAAAAAAATCTACTGGCTTCTCGCAGATTCAGCCCAGAGAAGTCTAGACATCATGGGCCATTTTTCACAAAGGCAAATGCACCAAGAAAGCATAATTACCACCCTGCAACACTGTCAAGTTACCAATTACCATCTGGTTTCCAATCCACTTCCATTGCATTTTCTAGAGTCTCCCACCTTCTGGTATCCCTTAGTCACCAGTAAGAATCTGCTGTTGACATTCACCCTGCATGCTCTCAAGATCATGCATCCAATAAAGTGGGTTCCAGCCCACAAAAGCTTATGCCCAAATAAATGTGTTAATCTTTAAGGTGCCACAAGACTCTTGCTTCCCCCCCACCCC